ACTAACATAGACTTCATAGTCATCAGATAACTGGTTTACTATTTCTTTGAGACCTTCTGGGGCCTCAGCTACTAGCATTTTTATGTGGGCCTGTTGTTGCTTTTCATTGCCAAGAGACAATTGATTCTACAGGCTCCTGTATCACAAGATCCTTGTTTACATTATTCATCCTCTTCGAAGATCCAACAACAAGTGTTGTATAAGTCATACAACATCAACAGGTATCGAGAAATTCATTGTTTTGAATTACTGAAGTGGGCACGCAGTCCCGCTTCTTTTCAAGTCATATGTCTCTACATACCGTGCTCCCCTAGATCATCCCATCTTTTATAAAGATAGTGTATCTTTCAATTTCTTATTTGGGTTCAATCTGTTAAAACCTTATATGATGCTTTAAGCACCGCTTTAATATCTTTGATGGTGACTATGCTATCTTTCTCTCGGAACTTTAAAAAATCTAGGAATTTAGCTGTTTCTCTGGTTAGGGGTATCATTGTTATGATCGACGATCACATTCATCAAAATCTTTATCTCACTCAGTTTCTTATAAAATTTGTATCTCACTCTTAATGAAGAGTACACATTCATCAATATCTTTATCTCACTCTTAATGAAGAATAGTTTCTTAATTGATCTTAATTCTTACCCTTAATTCATCTCACAATTCTCCCCCTCGAAATATGGCATGAACTATACTGCTATGATTTCGAGAACTATTTAGAAAACTGTGAACGAGGAGACACTTATGACTTACTTCATTCACATGATTATGCCATGCAAATAAAGTTATTTCTTGATCCGTATAGGAGTACACTTTCCTCATTCCACTTCAAGAACTTGACGAGGTCTTTTATTAACTGTACTTTTGCAAGTCCCGCTTGCATCTTTTTCTTGTCCTTTGATTAGTATTGACCATGATGGTGCATTTCTATTGTGCCATGGTCAATACTAGGATAGCATAAGAGCTACCCTAACTTCTCTCGCTATGTTGGATACAAAAACATATGAGTCATCACAAAACTTCTCCCGCCATGCAGGATTGACGAGCATAAGTACTATGCTAAACTTCTCCCCATGTGGGATAAATCTATATACAAATTACCATAACGAAAAATTTAGTCATGATGATTAAAATATTCACTTATACTTTATTTTCCAATTAAATCTTCTCGTTGGTTCCAATTTAATTAGAAAATTAGTAAACTAACAAAAAAACTATCCTGAACTAGCTTGACTCAAGCCTTTTCATTCACATACCCCAGCATTGCAGCACGTTGACATACAGCCGAGTGATCACGTCGGTTAAAAAATAAAACTTACAAGATGCTTCTGCATCAATTCTATATCACCATTGGGCATAAAATAGAATTAATGCATAAAACTCATAAATTAACTTGAAAGACATATAACTACTCTTCAAAATTAAATTCTCCCGTTGGTTCGAATTTAATTAGAAGATAATCAACATCATTGCAGCGAAACATGATAATAAAATACATTCTATTAGTTTATGAGCATTTCTTGGTCTTTATCTACTCTCTGAAAAATTAACCATATTGGTATAAAATTTATCAGAGATTTAAACTTCAACCTTAAACTCATTATAATATTGTTATCATCAATGTTGGTCAGAAAAAAACAATACCATAATTTAACATAAATAAATCGGACTACTCCTCTAATTTAAAATTTTCCGTTAGTTCCAATTTAATTAGAGGATAAATATAATCATAATTTACTGAATAAATATAACTGTTCTTCAAATTAAATTCTCTCGTTGGTTTGAATTTAATTAGAAGATAATCAACATTAAACTTGGCAGCGGAAACATGAAAAAATTCTTTATCTACTTTTTAGAAGCATTTCACTGTACTCATCTACTATCTAAAAAAATTATCCCGTTGATTTAAATTTTAACAAAGATTTAAAATAGATAAAAAAATCATCAAAATTTGCTTCTAAAAATGAATAAACATGACTCGGTATGTACTATTCATCTTGCCCTAGCCCGTTAAAACAAGACGCTGCCCAAAGAAGCGAAACACGACTGCTGGCACGCTCATCGCTTCAAATGACAATTTCAACCTGCAAGGCCGCTGGCGCTCCTCCACTCAAAGCCGCAACTGGGCTGGGCAAGGATTTCCTCAACCCGCCTACGTTGAAAGCCGGTCCTGCGAATACCGACCGTTGATCGTAATCGAACGGTCGTCCGTCATTCTCGGCAGATAAAAACTCTCCGCTGAAAGCATCTAGGCCCTTAGTTGGATTTCGGTGATTAATGATGACACGAGATTACTATGACTAATATATGTTTTGTAGAGGTAATTTGAGTTAGGTCATGGTAATAGCAATTGATTGGGCAATCATGGTTGTTATGCCCCTGTCGATGAAAATCATTTTGGTTTTCAAAGGATGGACGACAAGGTTAAGGACGGACTAGTTCTAAGTGTCGTTTGGTGTTAGAGATACACTTAGAGTAGTTTAGAACTTTGATTTTCCTTTAGCCGTACTATTAAGGGGGGTATAGACTAGTAGCTTGACCTAGGTGAGTCTAATAGGTTATCTGTGGTACACACTTGTCAAACCTAGCACTAGGTAGCTCAGGAGTAGTCATAAGATCAATTGGAGTAAACTTCATCCACATAGGATTTCGAGTTAGAAGTGAATGGAGGGTCAAATGATTGACCGGACGCTGGTCTGGTTTTGATAGGATGCTGGAGGGTGAGTCTGGTCAGTTTATTTTATCAACTGCAGTCGTCTGGTACTGATCGAACGCTGAGTGAAAAGTGATCGGATGCTGGGTACCTGCATCCAGTCAACTCCAGAGACGTTCCAGAGAGACTGTTTTCTGACCGGACGCTGAACAGTGAAGTGACCAGACTCTGGGTGTCAGTGTCCGGTCAACATCAGTAAGGTTCTAGAGAGTGTTTTTCTTGACCGGACGCGTCCGATCAGTGCTGACCGAACGCTGGTCAGAGTTCGGTCAGAACTTAACGGCTCTTTCTGACACAGTGGCGGGTGTAACTGACCAGAGCGTCTGGTCATACTGACCGGAGCGTCCGGTCACCCTGCTGAACGCTGACTTAGCCTCTAAACATTATGTTTTGAATGAGGGGGTATAAATACTTACTTCACTCGTCCAAGGGATGTCTCTTGTCCATTTGTTCAGCTGAGAAACATCTTGAAAGTGCAATGGACAGTAAGAGCCTAGTGAGGTGATTGAGATTTAAAAATCCAAGATTAAGGTCCTCATTAGTGCAAGAAGAATAGCAAGTGTGCATCCACCCTTCTCATTATGCTTGTCGTGGTCAAGTGAGAGTTTGTGCTTGTTACTCTTGGTGATCGCCATCACCTAGACGGCTCGGTGGTGATTGGAAGTTTGGTGATCATCCGACGGAGCTTGTGGGCGATTCACCGCGATGGAGTGACAAAGAATCAGCCCGTAGAGAGCACTTGATCCTTACGCGGATCAAGGGGAAGCTACATCCTTGCGTGAGTGCTCCAACGAGGACTAGTGGGGAGTGACGACTCTCCGATACCTTGGAATACATTGGCGCGTTCATTTTTCTCTGTTTACTTTGAGCATTTACATTTGAGCAATTCATTTCATATCTTTATATTCTTAGAATTGACATGCTAGAGTAGGATTGGAACCTAGGGTGTAAAACTTTTGTGCGGTAGAACAATAGAAACACATTCTAGGCACAAGGGGTGAAGTGGGCTAAGTGTAGGGTTTAATTATTGAAAGAATTTAGAATTAGCCCAATTCATCTTTACTTTTGGTCATCTTGATCCTTTCACCCGCGACCGGCTCTCCCCTAAACCCTAATTCTATTTGCTCTTCCCCTTTCTCTCTCTACGCCGCAGCGCACCAGACACAGAAGCGATAGCGACTCAAGGCTGTCGGAGAAGAGAGTGCGACGCCGCCATGGGGCCCCTTGCCGAAGCGCGCGTTCCCCAGTGGGTGAGCGCGCCGCCGTCGAGTGGCCTCGCGTTGGCGCCCTAATCTCGTGCGCCAGTGACCCAGCGTTGAGCGATGCTCGTCCCGTTTTGCCCGCGCGACGACGGTGGTGACAGCGGCGAGAAAACCGGGTAGGTTCTCCCCTCTCCGTCCACTTTTCTTCTAGGGTTAGGGTTAGGGTTTCGATCCGATTCGGAAAACGATTCCGCTCCTTCTACTTTCTTTTCACTTTTCTACCCCGATCTAGATCTACACACTTGAAAACCTGGCTCTAGTACCATGGTTGGGATTTGTAGGACCTCTAGGTGCAGATCTAGCGGGTAATGACTTAACTTAGATAAGGACTTGGTGATGTATCTCGCCGCATGAAGTGGCAGCCATGGCGCCGCCGCGACGTGCCCACTGATGTTGGAGTAGAAGTAGCATCGTACCCGTCGCTCACAGCACTTCCCTTTTGATCAGATTAGGGTTAGACTCGATAGAGAATTGATGGCAGCAGTGAACTTCGTACCTTTCGTCCTGACCCCACATTCCTATTTATAGCGCTGCACGACTTGGGCATCAGCCAGGATTAAGGCACGGATCAAGATCAACCTAACAACGGACACCACAACCGCGGCAATGAAATGGGGGCATGGCGGGACTCGTCACCCACCCGCGCGCCAAAAAGGAGGAGGCAAACGGCGGCGGTGGAGCAGGACGAGCCGATGCGAGACTTCTCGCAGGAACGGAACGACGGGGAGGTTGCGGATGGCGGCGCTCGAGGTGCGGCTCGGCGAGCTCTCAGCTGACGTCGTCGTGCTAGCACAGGGTGCTTCTCGCGACTGTCTCGGCCCTGCTCAAGGCCTCGGAGGAGCACGCCTTGCTGTTCAAGGCCGCGGAAGAGCATGCCTAGGCGGAGGCGGCGCGTGAGTCCTGGGCCAGCCCAGGGGCGAGGCCGCGGCGTGACTCCAGGGGGCGGTCGTGGAGAGCGTCTGAAGCTGTGGCTGATGTCTTGCTTCTTGAAGCCCGTCCTTCCTGTCTGACGGCGTGCATCCAGATCCAGAACAAGCTCAAGCTCCATGCTCATTACGTGCTTGTGTGAATGCCCACATGGACGACGACCGGTCGAAGGAGGTTGTGATGTGTGGGTCCTCATGCCACGGTGGCAACAGATTCCAGCTAGACTGCCACGTGAGTAAAACCACCCTGCAAAACCACCTTAGGGGTTATTTGAACGGTATTGCATAGTTTAAGGTGCACAATACCTGGTTTCGTAGGTTAGGGGTGAAGTAGACCTCCTTCCATACGTTAGGGGGTTATACAGACTTTTTCCCCATGGCTGCTAGGTATAGAGGTGTTTCGTTCATGGTTTGGGAAAATGCAATTGGTCAGTGGGTTCCTGCTTGAGGTGTCGCCATGGTGTAGAGATTTCACTGTGTGGGTGCAGTGGCAACCATCTATGCCACCACCTGTGCTTCTAAAGATGGCATCCAGTGGTACTAATCTGCAGCTGTTACCATGTCTATTCATTGTCTGCACTAGAGCCGAAGCAAAGCAATCCAAAATTTTGCTGGTGCTTATGTTTGGCATTTGCTATGTTGAATTGCCTATTGTGCACTCCAATTTTCAGTCATATATATTGGTGTTTGAGGTGCTGCCAGGAAAGCCAGTAGCACTGCCTTTTATCTGTAGAAATGGTGGCAAGTTTCTGTTACAACCATGGCTATCTCAACTTGTCATTGTTAATGCTGAGCATCATCAGTTAGAGCTAAAATCACAAAGGAGGATTGATGGGCAATTAGTACAAATCAGGAACTGGGAAGTGAAGCTAGAAGAGGGAAACAACAAACTGAATATATTCCTACATGGCACAGACATGGATTTTCACCTAAGCAGCAATACTGATGCTCTCAAACTGAACTTGCAGCATCTGAAATTTTCTTGGCCACCACATGCTCTGTCCCAAACCTTGGATATGTCTCTAACTACCACCAGTATATATGGAATACTATTGTTGACAAGTCATCAGAGGAACTCTAGAATACTGATGCTGCAATCAAATGCAGATTCTATATACTCTCACAAGGAAGCGAATTGGAAACTGAATTTGTTAGCCGAAAACTTGAGCTGTGTCCAGATTGGCATTATTGTGTTTGTAGCTGGTGACCAGTGCAGAAGTAGTGGAGAAGAGCTGCAGCCAAGACCATTGCCATCTTTCAAGTTCAGTCAGTACGTTAAAGGAGACTCTGAATTGGTGACCCATGCATCACTAATGGTTTGGTGCTGCCAAAGCGGATTACAATGGATACATAAATGGCCACGACCACCACAAAAGTATTTTAAGAACTATCAGCATACTGTTCTACACTTGGGCTGCAAGCAGTTGTTCACGAGAGAAAAATGGAAGAGCTCTGTCGTTGCAAACTATGATTACAAAGAGCTAGTGCAATTGAAACCCCCATGGCTATTATTTGCGTGCGGCAACTGTGTTCACTGTTGTCTTGCCAAGAACCTCATCACAGACACAGTTATTTCTAGCATTGCATCGGGACCCCTCCTAGAAGTGGTGAAGTTTAAGTCCAGTAATCTGTTTATCGGCAATACAAAAGTATCAATGGTTCTTTTGGAAAGTGCTAGGCGCAGAATATTGATCATTGGTGAAACTGATATCCTAGTGAAAAATCAAGAAGGTACATCTGAATCAAAAGTATTCCTTTGGACAAAGAAGAAAATGTGTGCTATTGAAGCGGCTACTTGGCAGTGAGCAAACAACTCATATACAATGTCAGAACAATATGTTTCAGTTTCAGAAATGTCCAGTGTGGTTGCAGCAGATATTCAATGGTGCGCTCTGGACTTGCATCATCAAGGTTCAACAGGTGATCTTGTGGGATCCAGGAAATCGGCTTGGGGACAAGCCGAATTTTTAGGAGGGGAGAATGTCATATACGTACTGTACTAAACAATGGATCTCATAGAGAGATGTGGGCTGTTCCGTATACCGGACCAGCTATGGGCCTAAGAAGCAAGCAGATGTATTACAAAAGGAGGAGGGACACGCAACAGAGGGGCGTCGAAGGACCAGACCCTGAACCGGCGACGGCAAGCGCAGGCTTGAGTCGAGGTGAGCGATTGCTCGAGGCTAGCTTCGGCTAGAGTTGTATCTCCTTCCCTTAATCCTTCTTCCTCCTCCCTTGTACTGGTTCCCTTCAATAGAAACTTCTAGAACCTTCCAGAAGCTTGTATTCTGGCTCGTATGCTATTTCTGTGTGTGCTATTGTTGAGTTGAGGATTAGGACGGTGACAGCCCCGTAGCCCAAGGATGTACAAGAAAGCCCTGGAGGTCGCCAACGACCATGATACCAAGGCTATTGGTGCGAAGATGGATTTCTTGAAGAAGGCTCTTGGATGCTCTGAATCTGAGGTAGGCATTGCAGTATGCAAGATGCCGTCCCTTCTGTCTACCTCAGTGGGAAAGCTGGGTCGCATGGTGGAGTTCCGAAAGCTGGATGTCGGGTTGGAAGCTTGTTACATAATCTGCAGGCCGCAACTATTTAACTACAGCCTGGAGAAGCGGCTGATCCCCCGGCATTAAGGTTCTGAAGGCGAAGGGGATTCTGAAAAAAGACGTCGACTTCCACAATGTGGCTTGTGCATCCCATAAGAGATTCGCAGAGAGGTTCCTGGACTCTCACAAGAAGAGTATTCATTGGCTGGAAGAGACTTATGCTGCTGCCTGTGCAGGGCAAGTTCCTCCAGAAATCAAACCATGAGTCTATGACTAGAAATGGAGATGTTGAAGGTTTATTCTACCTCCCTAGTAGACTGCGTTGATACTGTAACATGTTACACCATGCTTGCTTCAATTTGGGTTTCTTAGTCACAAAGTTCTTGGGTCGGCGGGGTCGAGGAATGTGTTATGGTACCTGCGAGGAGTTTTTACAAGGCAGGGTGGAAAATGAACCTGCATACTTGGATCGGGGTCGAGGTTCCCAGGTCGTGGGTTGATGCCTCGGACCCTGCTTTATGTGACTACTTTCTAGTGATCTGATTACAGACCATGTGTTTAATACCTTCATGTCTTTGAAGCATTTGGATTGGATGGCCTGATTCCGCTCACCCATGTTCATTTCTTCCTGCTCCCAAAACTTTACTGATTTTGCCTGTTCCCTATTTGGATAAAGGGACGTGTTCTCTCAGTCTTGCTGTTGTTCTAACACTATTGTGTATCTGTATGTTAAATTGTTAATCTGTTTTTATGTTACAGTTTCATTATTCCATTGGTGAATCCTGGGATTTATTGAATCTTGGTTTCCAATGAAATGCAAGTGCGCTGAGCGCCCTCAGAAATAGGGGAGGACTGAGCCTAGCTTGGTTTCTGTGGACCGAGGTTGTTTTGCCAGCACGTCTAGGGTTTGATGCTTGGAGCTTCGCCATTCCACCAGGATTTAAACATGGGCAGGAGTTGTATATGTACATGTGAGTACATTCAGTTGTCAAAGTGTGTGCTTGTGCTACTTGAGGTTAGATCTCCAATTTGGTTTAAACATGTGCTTGGACATAAGCATGTTGGCAATTTTCAGCATGTGCTTTGTGTGAGGTGTGCGTGTCCTGCCTTCTACTCAGAAAAAAGAAAGAAAGGATCAGAATAGGAAGGAAAAAGTTGGAGGAATTAAGGGCAGGTATTGATCTTTTTTGTGTAATAATTGTGTAAAGGAGTAAGATGTTAGATGACCTGAAAAGAAGTGGTATGATTAGTCATTTTGCACAGAATAGAAATAAGAAAAAACTTTGGCATTGCTTTGCTCCTGTCCATGGCAAAGACCCAATGAAGCTGTTTTAGGCTTCATGAATTGAGCTGAAGATTAACATGGATCAAAACGAGGTATGTGCCCCTTACCCATTGTACATTATCCTGAAAAAAGGGAGGGAAGATATTAGGCTACAGTTATGGGTATCTGAAAGGAAAGTTTATGGGCCTGTTCGGCTAGTATTAAAGCCGGCTGAAGCTGTTTTGTTGTGAGAGAAAAATACTGTAGATTCTAGCTGATAATACAATTGGGTTGGACATACAGTTGGTTTGGACCCAACTCCCAAGCTAGTACTTTCAATGTGAAGTGAGTTAAGCTTATGGTGGTCCTTTCGATAAGGAGCATAAGAAATATTCAATCATTACTCTACTGCAAAATAAGAAAAGGTGAAATGGAAATATGCTTCTTCATCTGTATAGTAGCAACATTGCTGGGGGATCTACCTTTACTTCTGCAGGAGACCCAATTTACATCTTCCTGATTAGTAAAAGTGAGCAATGACTTGGCGCACCTTCCTGTTCCCACAGCATTGTTATTGCATCACTAATCACGATATGTTCTTTGCTTCATTTTGCTCTCTGGTCAGAAGTTTTGATATATTTCTGTTCTCAGGGATTCAGGGGTCTTTGTGTCTGTGGTGAATCTCTACTGGTTAGGTTGGAATATGGCATTGATTACTCACTGAATTTTTCATCAGTTGATCTGTGATCAGACCTACAGCGTGAGGTGTGCTTGGGTCCTAAACCATAGCAGTTTAGCAGATATACGGAATATGACCAATATGTTAGCTCAAGTTGTTATGTACTTGTTTGTTTGCCGTCACATTGTTTTCGTATTGGGCCTCGTTTAGTTGGCGATTTTTTTTGGGAAATGGTACGGTAGCACTTTCGTTGTTATTTGGCAATTAGTGTCCAATCATAGTCTAATTAGGCTTAAAAGATTCGTCTCGTGATTTTCGTCTAAACTGTATAATTAGTTTTATTTTTTATTTATATTTAATGCTTCATGCATGCGTTCAAAGATTTGATGTGACAGGAAATCTTGAAAAATTTTGCAAAATTTTGGAAACTAAACGGGCACTTGGTACAAGTTGTTGGATCATGCATGTGAACTTTATTTCTGATTTGAATTACAGGGGCTGTTATCTTCGCTGGAATTTGGATGCGAGGGGCCGAGGCGGTACTGAGTACTGAGTACTGACTACTGAGCATGATTTGGTACCTCCTCGGCTGTACATATATTTCGCTGTGGAACGGCTGCAAGGTCATCATCTAGTGATCCGTCATTCCTGAACCTGACCCCCATCTCTCTTTGGAGCAGCTCAAATGCAACAGTTCCGTCTGCAAGGTTTAAGAGTTGTATGGTCCCATTAAAGAAGTAGAGTTATTTTAGCGCAGGACTTGCTGCAGCTGTCTCAAAACATCGGAATTCTTACTTCTTAGTGCACCTGTGGTCCTAATCTCTGCTTGATATATGAAGAAAAAAAAACACGAGATTTCGAATTGAAGATATGCTGTTGATATTGATACTGCTGTCCCAGCAATGGCAGATACGAACTTTGGATCAAGGCAAGCCTTTTTGACATCTGAATTCTGCGTTTCTTTGCCTCCATTTGACATCTGAATTCCCTGTTGCTCAGTGTTAACCCTGCAGGTCAGAACCGTGCATTCTCCCAATTTGAATAAGGAGCGGATTCAGGCTACAGAAGTTTGGCCGACGTCAACGTGAAACAGAGACAGTTGCTTCACATTTTCTCCGCATCCACTTCCACCACAGCCAATCCCCAGGCCCCAGCGCAGCGCCATCTATCGTGCTGCCATCAGACGCACACGCACAATCCATCCATTTCTTATCCACCTCATCCCACCTCCGGCCACTCGTCTCCGGCCACGCGACGCCCTCCAGCCCCACCGCCGCGCGATCCGGCGGCCACCCGATCCCGTCCGTCCGCTCCCCACCCCCAAACCCCACCCCTGTCCTCTTCCTCTCCCCCCGGACCTCCCAAGTCCCAAACCAGAGCGAGGCCGCACTACCCCCGAGTCCCCTCCGACCGCACGCTCCGCGACGCGATGGCCGCGCTCCGCCTCGCCTCCTTCACCCTCCGCCCCGCCGCCGCCGCGGCATCCGCCTCCTCCGGCGCGACCCCCGCGGCGCCCCGGTCCGCCTCCTTCGCCCGCGTGGCGCGGGGGCTCCCCTCTCTCCGCCTGGCCCCGCCCCGCCGCCGCGGGGACCTCGTCAAGCCCCGCGCGGCCGAAGCCGCGGCGGAGAGCTACGCGTCCGCGCTGTCGGAGGTGGCCGTCGAGAACGGCACCCTCGAGCAGACGGTCTCCGACCTGGAGAAGCTGGAGAAGATCTTCGCCGACGAGACCGTCGCCGAGTTCTTCGACAACCCCACCGTCCCGCGCGAGGAGAAGACCCAGCTCATCGACGAGATCGCCAAGTCGTACGAGCTGCAGCCGCACGTCGTTAACTTCCTCAACGTCGTCGTCGACAACTTCCGCGCGACGATCGTGCCGCAGATCGTCGTCGAGTTCGAGAACGTCTACAACTCGCTCACGGGCACCGAGGTCGCAACCGTCACCTCCGTCGTGCAGCTCGAGTCGCAGGACCTCGCGCAGATCGCGCAGCACGTCCAGAAGATGACCGGCGCCAAGAACGTCCGCGTAAAGACACAGCTCGACCCGGAGCTCATCGCCGGCTTCACCGTGCAGTACGGCCGCGACGGCTCCAACTTAATCGACATGAGCGTCCGGAAGCAGATCGACGAGATCACGTCCGAGTTCGAGTTGCCCGACGTCCCGCTCGGAGTCTGACCGGCTTGAGGCGTCCATCCTCGCCCTTGAAGCTTAGGTCCTTTCTGCTGCCTCTCTCTCCCTGTTCTCATCTGTATCATTCTCTGATTGAATATTTGAATGAATGATGAATACTGCATACCTGGATTTCAGAGTTCATTCATATTTGAATGAATGGTGAATACACTGCATACCTGGATTCCAGAATCGTATTGTGTGCATGTCTTGGCTTGTTAGCATTGTGCATAATCTGAAGACAAGTGTATAGCTTAGTTTCATGTCATTCGCACGGTTTATAGTTTTTTTTTTGAAGTTGAGACTTCGCTGGAGCGTCCAAGAAAGAAATTAATTGAAATTGGTTTCAAATAGGGAAAGTGGTGGAAATTAGGAAAACGCGACCATAAATTTCACATGAACCGTGTAGGAATTTCATGTAGAGAAACTGTGTCCAATTCTCAATAATCTATACTGCAGTGCTCCTATGGAACATAGAAATTTTACATGAATCATGTAATCGTGTATGAATTTCACAGGAATCACTTTATTTTTATAGAAAAAATAGGAAATGTAAAAAAAAATCCGTATTCCAAAGGGGGCCTTAAATGGTTGTATTTGATGTAATCCCTGTGATTACACACTTAAGCAGGAAGATGAATGTACAGAAATCAAAATGCTCACACAAGTAATCCAATCCATAATCAACCAAAACGCCCAAGATTTTGGCTTGCAATCAAAATTGAAAGTGCAATCAAGTCCTAATTGTGGGTTTTGGTGATAATAACCACGCAATTAGAGAACTAATGAGGTTTATCGAGATGACAAGTAGGGAATTTATATTCGAGGATGCTACACGAAACAGAGGAGCCCCCAATTATAAATGTAGATGGCTTCAAACTCAGGAGGTTCAAATTTTTTTATATTTTGAATTTGAGTATATGAAAAGTCATACTATAAAGGGGACACAATGCTTAAGCTAATATGTGCTACCAAGTGCTCAAACATACACATGCATCATCAGTTTCACAACCAAGACAGTCTACACTTCACTCTTACCCATGTTGTCTTGCGTGGTGCGGCACTACCGCAGTGCGGCACTACCACGACTTAAGTGACCGTTGGGGGCTGAAGAGTATTTATACCCTTCCCCTTCCTCCCCAACGGCTCTCTGTCTCTTCTTCCTCACTTCAGCACGTCCAAAACAGAGTAGAAGCTCTCTCTCTCTTCCTCCATTGTTGACCTCAAGCCCCCAAGCAAATTCATTGATTTTCCCATTAATCCTTGAGGGAAAAGGGTCCAAAACTCAATTAGAGAGCAGCTCCATTGATTCCCTAACTCTAAAGAGCATTTGGTTCACGATTTGGCCGGCGGTTGTGTTTGTTACTCTTGGAGCTTGGCTCCTAGCCGGCTAGAACATCGTCCGTGGAGCTTGTTAACTTGTATGGCAGCCCCGAAAAGGTTTGTAACCATCTCTTGAAGTTAGTAAAGTCATCCCTCATCTTAAGAGTTAAGTCTCTTGACTTGAGAACGAGAAATGGTTGGAAAGCCTCAAGCCTTAGTGGCTAACCTCAACAACATAGAGGTAGGCAAACTTTGGTGGCGAGCCGAGCCACGGGATAAATCATTATATCACTTGTGCTTGATTTACATTACTTGCATAACATATTGTGGTTGAGGTGATTTCTAGAGTTTTTAGTCGATCTACTTGTGTGTGGTGTTTCTACCACTTCTAACTCTTGATTTGTGATTGTCATACCTGCAGTAAGCTAGAAAATTTCTCCGATCTAAGTTTTCGTTCACAGATTTTGAACTATGATTCGAAGTTGTCTGCAGGTGCGGCAGTGTCGCTGTTCTGGTCCGGCAGTGCTGCAGTCCGACAGTGCCACCCTCCAGAGCGGCAGTGCCGCAGGGTGAATTTGATAAAAGTTTGAGTGTTTGTTTTGATAGGCCTATTCACCCCCTAGGTTAACTAGAGATCCTACAAGTGGTATCAGAGCGGGTTACCTCATATACGCTTCACCGCATGAGGTATGGAGCCCGGAGGAGGAACTAGTGGCGTGAAGCGGGTGGATGTCGACACGGACAGTAGCGAGCTGAGCGCGTCGATAGCAAGCAACACCACGCTACCACATCTTGAGGCTACCGATGCCGAAGGAGCTCTCAATGAGAATGAGAGAAAAAGGAAAGAAGAAAGAAAGCTAAAAAGAGAAGCAAGAGAGAAAAAGAAAGAGAAGCAGCGGTTAGAGGAGAAGAAGCAAAGGAAAGAAGAAACAAAGCTCAAGAGAGAAGCAAGAAGAAAAAGAAGAGAAGGTAAGAAGAAGGAAGAAGAAGAGAAGGCAACAAGTGCATCATCAAACATATCAAGTAGTTCCAAAGATAGAGATGATGATAAGTCATACCAAGTGTCGAAGAGGAACAAGAAGGATAAGAAAGGAAAAGGCAAGGCCGACAACAACAAATATGTCACCGTATCCTTTAACTATTATTTTATTCCTATGACTAACCATGATCAGAGGTCTTTCATCAATGTGCCTGCGTGCAAGTTACCTCATTTCAATGGAACTAACTTTGCCAAGTGATAGCACTTGATGAGAGCCTATCTTATAGGTCTTCACCTCGACATTTGAGAGATTGTTTGCAATAGATTTAAGCCACCGGTTGATCCCAAGAACCCAACACTAGAAGTGATGAGAATCATTCACCTCAATGGTCAAGCCACAAGTGTGTTGCTTAGTGCCTTGGATGGTGATGAGTATAATAGAGTGATTGGAGTTGATGTTGCCAAGCAAATATGAAACACTTTGCACCTAGCAAATAAAGGGGTTGACAAAGTGAGAAAAGCAAGAATTGACTTGTTGATGTCAAAGCTCAATTGGTTTGTAATCTTGGATGGAGAGAGGCCACAAGAGATGTTTGATAGGTTGATAACAATAGTGGGCAAGATTAGAGGCTATGGTTGTGATGAGCTAGATGATCATAAAGTTGTCAAGATTATGTTGAGGCTTATTCACCTAGAAATGAGACCTGTAGTGACTCTAATTAGAGACAAGAAGAAGTTTGAGTACTTCACACCAAATGATGCACTTGAGAGGATCTTGACCTTTGACATACAAAGAGAAGAAGCAAATGAGAGAAAGAAACTTGGAGAATTACAAGGAAAGCTAGAGGGCATCAAGATCAAAGATGTAACTCTTAAGGCCAACAAATCAAGTAAGCAAGGCTCTACAAGCAAGTTCGAGATCAACCAACAAGCTTCAACTAGCAAGTCCAAAGCAAGCAAGCAAGTTCAAGAAAGAGTAGAGACCACATCATCTTCAAGTGAAAGTGAAAATGATGATGATCAATATGAGAAAGTTGATGATGTTGCTCTCTTTATGAAGAGGTATCACAAGGGGCTAAAGATGCAAGGCTACAAGGTAGTGAAGAAAAGCTTTCCAAACAAAAAAAGAGGACATGCTATAATTATGAAAGCACCGATCACTTCATTGCCAAGTGTCCATATGAGATCAAGGACAACAAATACAAGAAAAACAAGAAAGAGAAGAAGGCCGACCATAGAAAGAGCAAGAAGTATATGGAAGAGGCTCACATTGGGTATGAATGGGACTCAACTAAAGAGAGCACAAGTGAAGATGATGAGAAGGTTGCAACTATTGCTATTCACTAGCCATCCCCTACACCAAGGCTCTTCAACGACATGTCCGATGATGACTACTACTCCCCTCACATTTGTCTCATGGCAAAGGGTGAGAAGATAAAATCTAAATCGAAGGCCAAATCTCCTCCACCTCCTAGTAATATCTCTAGTAGTGATATTAGTGATAGCTCTAGTGATGATGAATCTAGTGATAAAGAAATAAACATGATAACTAAAAATTTAGATGGAAAGACCAAATTATTCATCACTAAGTTAATGGAGAATTTAGAAAGTGTCCAAGCCAAGCTAGAATCTAGAGAAGAGACTCTTATCCAATAAGAGGATCTCTATATTGCTAGCAAAGAAGTTCTTGCATTAGAGAAAAGTGAGGTGAAATCCTTGAGCAAGGCTTTGGCCAAAGAGGAAGAGAAGCATGCTATCACAAAGAAAGCAAATAAAGCTCTCAAGAAAAAGTATTGTGACTTAGATAAAAAGCATAAAGAACTTAAGATGCAATATATCATTCTTTGGGATAGCAACTCACATCTTACTAAGGCAAAGGAAACATCTACTCCCTTCACTAGTAAAGGTTGTGGAAAATGTTTTAATCTTGATTTGAATGCCTATTCCACTAACCTTGCAAACATGGAAGCTATGAGAAAGAAGATTGCTAGGCTCAATGAAGTCATTGGAAAATGGTGGATAAGTATGACCCAATCCAATGATAAGAAGGTTGATGAATCAAAAGGGCCACAATTTAATCAAAGAAGGCATCCCTCAATCAAGCATGGGCTTGGACACACAAAAGGAGTCAAGACAAATGGAAGAAGGATAGTGAATGGTTATGAGTGTGAGCAGTTTGAGAGGAAGGGCAAAATTGGTACAGATCAACCTGCACAGACCACGCCAGTGCAGCGTCCTCGAGCGGCAGTGCCGCAGTGAAGGGCGGCAGTGCCGCGCCCCGCAAAAATAGGAAGGCTACTAATTCTGCTTCTGATCAAACTAAGCCCAAAAAGAAGGTGTACTAGGAGAAATAGGTTTTTCAAAAGACTAAGGAATCAGTGTGGGCCACCAAGAATAAGTATGCCTATCAACCGAAGACTTATACACCTCGACAAAAGCTTGACATCATGCTTTGTTTTGAGAAACAACAACAGTGGGAAAGTCATTGCAAAATATGTTGGAAAGAAAACCAACATATATAGGAATACTTCTATTTGGGTTTCTAAGATTCTTGTGAGTAACATGCAAGGCCCCAAGTCAAATTAGGGACCTAAATCTAGCAACTAAACTTGTTTTGAAGGCATACTTCTTCGGTGGATCAAGTTGGGTGCTTGATAGTGGATGTACAAATCATATGACCGGAGAAAGGAGTATGTTCTCATCA